TGTTGTCGGGCCACATCACTCCGTTCTCCGCTTGTAATTATGCCGTTACAAGCTTCAAAGTTGTATTTATCATTTTAATTTGGCGAAACGAGTTTAATATTCTAAAAGCCAAGACTTTGTTTATTTGAAATAAGATGAAAACAAACTGTAACGGACCCTGCCGTGTTATCTATGATTACTATACGCCTTGCATTCATAATTTCAGCCGGAGGGAGGGGGAGCGGCACTGAGGAACAGCAGGGTGCGAGTGAGAGCTGTCATCTTCCCTTTAGAAGCTTCACACATGTATTTATCGTGTGATTTTGGCAATAAAAGTGTCATATTCTGAAAGCCAAGACCTTGTTTACTTAAAATCAAACAAAACACCCGAACCCCGAAAAACTAGTTTTTTTACACAAATCCACTTTTATTTTAAAATGAGCCGTTGCGACTTCTGACTGATTTCGATAGAGCGGGTCACAGATGAGCACAGCCCTCTGTGGATGTCAGCATGAGCAAGAGAAAGGTATCTGAGGAAAATCGTGTTTTCCAAGAAAAGTGGGAGAAAGAATATATTTTCACTGAATTCAGGAAACCACAATGTTTAGTATGTTTGCAGAACGTTGCTGTAACGAAAGTAAGCAACTTGAGACGCCACCACTACTAATTTGTGTGTGTGTTCCAAGTGAATCTGCGGCCCCCTGGTGGCCAGTACATCAATTATGTGGCCCCCATATCCAAATTCCCCATCCCTGATGTAGAGTAATTTTTACATTGCACTGAACGGAGTCAATGGCACACAAAACCAAAAGGAAAAAGGAATGATGGGCCATATTTGATATGTACATTTAGAAAATCTAGGTTATGGATGGTAGATGGCAATTTGTGTTTTTCTCCCAATCAAAAAATAGACCTGTTTTAACTCCTACCTATGTTTCAGATCATTTGAACCTTCTGGTGTCGATATGGTTTGCTTTCAACTCACAGCTAAATCCTCCACAAGCTTCTCCTCAAAGCTGTGGTCCTCTGCTGATATCCAGGATTTATTGTAGCCTTGAAGGAACAGGTTGACGGCTCTGTGCCTGGGGAGGCAGAAGAAAGAGACAACAGGAGTCTCACATTTGCATACACACATGCAAATAAGAGATAGACAAACAGGCAGCTTAGAGGGTCACGATAAAACCGTAAAAGAGCTCTGATTAGACCAATTATAAAACACTCATCAAGGCCTCTTATGCTTGTTCTGGGTGGTGACACAGCTACAATTCACGAGACACAAACATCCAAATACTATTGCTATATCACCACAAGCCACACAGCCACAGGGTTTTCATATGATAATGTAATCACGTTTGTACCTGGGTAAGTTGTAAAGGGGAGCCATCCGCAGGCAGGCCACCACTGCTCGTTTCCTCTGTTTGGATAACACTCTGTGCCACGCGGGTTTTTTATTTCTCTGCGGGTGCTCCACCTGAACCGAAATTCAAAGATAAACAAAGACGTCAATTAGAAAGTGTAATAGAATAGTGCACATGAACCCTAAGTGGTTTCAGTGGGAGTTTATCTTCATTTGTCTTGCAATTATCATGCATTAATATATTCCAAATAAATTAGCGTCAAGAAGAAAAACAATCTAACGTTTCTAATCCATTACTATTACAACACCTACAGTACAACATTATTACTATTACAACACCTACAGTACAACATAACATTACGAGAGCACCGTTATGTTGTACTGTAGGTGTTGTAATATCAAACACTTCTCTAACAGTGCCTAGAAGACTCTTTTGTAGCAGGTGATACTAATAGCGTTAATGATGGCTCAATCGTAAGCCATGATAGTATGAAAGCATGCCAGGACGCACTATATTAGGACCCAGAAACATGGATGTATAATAAGAACTGGATACAGCGAGGGAGGCGGGGTCTCGTTCTTTCCTATGAGAGCTGCTCATTGGCACATGACAAAATGGCCCAACTTTTGAGAGAGCGAAACGTCACAGATTACCCATCATGCCTTGCTGTCAGAGCAGAAGTACCCGTATTTGCGCTCAGAGCATGCGCAGTTGAGTTGCCCCTTAAGCCCCGCCCCCGAGCTCCCACTCTCAGATGCACGTTCATAAAGCCGAGGAAAATAACTCAGAATAACATTATTAGCACATGTTTTTAATAAGGGCTATACAAATGTTCATACTGGGTAGTTTATTTAGTTTAAAAAACATTATCCAACGATTTACAGACGTCTCTTTCCCAATGTAAGTCAAGGAGAAAAAGTATTTCCAGGCCCAGCGACCGATATGGAAGTGTAGTTACGCCGTTTGGCCACAACGAATAATTTCCTCAGAGTCCGGCGCACTTCCTGGGGGGCTTGCCCTGAAACTAAAGTAGCTACATGGAATTCAGCAATCATTCATTTTACTATTTAAACCTGTGTTAACAAGCCTTCTCTAGAATCTAAATAAAAAAGGCTATAAAAGAGAATCACTTAAACTTTGGCAAGCAAAAAATGAAATAAAAATACTTGTGTACTGATAATGATAATTCGTTTTATTGCTTTAAAAGCTCACCTGGTCAAGGTAATAAAGAACTCGAGCTATTTCCAGAATCCTGTCGACAGTCCTTTGGCCGTCAGTAATTGCTCCTAGCTGGCCTGGAGGATCTGTATAAAGGGACTCTTTCCTCAAGCCGTTTAACACCTGCAAAGAGAAAACATTCGAAAATTGATTCTTTTATATTCTCTTTTCTTCTTTTGTGTTTCAGCCATTCAATTACACATATTTTTAGGAAGACTGCTGGAGGGTGAGAAATGCTTCAGCAATGAGAAACGGGGATTCAGAGCAAAACAAACAGAAGAGAGAATAAGGGAGCTTGGTCTGAAAATAAAAGGCGAAAAAACATTAATAAGAAATCCAGTTGATGGGCTGAATCTTGCCATCCTTATTACTTTTGATTTCCTTTCTGACTTTCTCATATGAACCACAACAATACAGCAGAACACTTAAAAAAAATAATAATAATCACTTTAAGAAAAGGCTTAATGATGGGCTGTGCAAAAATATAATCAAATGTCTGTTTAAAAGTCTGATTGATTATGCTCATGAGAGCAGAATGTGTGTTTTTTTTCATCACTGACTCATGAATAAACATATGTATGACTGACTCGTGAATAACTGGATAATGCACGCATATTTTTAACAGTTTAGTGAGTATGTGACACAGTGATGTCTCTGGTGAGCAATGAGTAATGAGATTATTATACTATGTTTGTTCCTGATTTGGCAAGCCAAGAGAGCATTCTTCAATTTCATTTACCACATACTTGCTGCCTTCTGCAAATTAAAAGTCACATGTATTCATGCATGGTGATGAATATGCAGAGTGTCTCCAGAATGTAGGAAACACTTACTTTGATTATACTTTAAGAAGGAATTAATTAAACCAAGATCAAATAGAGATGCCAAGCAGTTTTTCTATAGCTAGGTAAGAGTTATTTATTTCAGAATTCCACTTACCATGTCAGTCAACAAACCCTTCTTTAAGGATTTTATTTCATACTGCAGAAATATTGTAATAAAAAACTAAATATGATGAAATACAACTGATAATCTTAAAAAATGAAATACTGTATTAATGTTACGAACACAATAAAGATTGTTACCTGACGCTGAAGGCCATTGAAAACACGTTCTCGAATCTCATCTTCAGTGTTCTTCTGTTAAAGGCAGACAATGGCCAACATGAAATATACATTACATACCACATATCTATATTACAGGGCACTCACGTCCACCATGACCCTACAACACTCCAGATTGTCATAGAGAGGCGAAGTCCCTCCCTTTCCGGGGGAGCTCCATGGGACCTTATTTCGGAAATATTATGTATTGAAGTCAATACATAGAGAGAAAGATTATCTTTCTATCCCGTTTGAATTGTGCCACGAATTACTCATATGATGTTTGTCAATTTAAAAAGATAATTTTGCAAGTCAAAAAAATAAAAATGTGTCATAAAACTGTGAAGTAACACTTTTTTTTGTGTGAAACCGCTCAATGAACTATATCTCCCGTCTCGCACCACACACCAAGACGGCCGTCACGTTGGCACATTTCACTTCTTTCTTTCAGAATGAGGCGAAAAGTATTAAACGAGGTGAAAATCACTACAAGTCTGGGTATGTTGAGAACTGTACATACACACAAGGGGAGTTAGTCGGTTCCGTAAGAGCAGGACCGGGATTCTGGGATTTGTAGTCTTTCTAGTTGCGTATTTTTCATAGTCTTATATTTCAACAGTTTTACGACAAACTGTGACTTTTTTGACATGGAAATTATTTGTTAAAATTGACAAACATCATATGTGTAATTCGTGGCACAATTCAAACGGGATCGAAAGATACGTTTTCTCTCTCCATTGACTTCAATACATAATGTTTCCGAAATAAGGTCCCATGGGTCGGAAGTAGATGGGCGGGACTTTGCCTCTATAAATACACTCAGATGTACATGGAAGGTTTTGTCATCATGAAGGCTACACTAATCCTCGTACATTTCCAACTGACCTGAGAGAAGCCGCTCTTAGCCAACATGATGAGGCTGTGGTCACTCGGAAAGCAAACCCTGAGTCCCACAGGGAGCAGTCTCTTCATGGACGCCACAATCAGAGAGGTGTGTGTGGAATACCGATCCCCCTTCCTCTTCACCCTCTTCTGCTCATGGTCAAACTATTTATTAAAAAACCATGAAGATTAATTAACTTTGAGACTTGACTGACAGTTGCCAACGTTTTGGTGATTGCCGTACAAATAACAAACATGGCTGACCTTGGACATTTTGTCGTTGTTGACAAGGAAAGCCAAGTTGTTTATTTCATTTTGGACCACAAAGTTCTGTTCCTCCCATTTGAAATTCTGTAGTAGCAAACAAAGGGGGAAGAAAGATGACATGGTTTATGGAGTAGAATATTCACTTGGATAGCATGGACATGAAAGGAATAAATAAAAAACCACGATGTGTCATCCTCACATGAGATTTGGCCCAGAATATAAAGACCTCTGCCACCATGCAGAACAGCTGCTCAGCGTCAGGGTTTGGCTCTTTCAGCCAGCTGGCACTGAGGCAAAACAAAACACATCACAGTATCATCAGGGAATTTATTCCAGTAAGAGTTAACATTTGCCTGAAATATTATCTTCAAATACCAATCAACAACATCCATTTTATTTTTACAATTTACTACAAGTTTTTTCACGAACATTGATGGAAAAAGTGCATTTCAAAAAGGTTTCTGCAAAGGGCAGAGGTGAATTAGCAGTGCTCCTAGTGTCAATGTATCAGAGTAAAAAAAAGTTACACTCCATTGATTCTAAAGAATCTTCTAATAACTCTCCTGGAGCTTCTGGCCGAAACAAATAAGCTTGCGTCTCCACGTCTGAGCTCCTTGGCAGAGTGCCTTACCGATTAGAATCCACAAATGGGATGAGGAGTGGATAAAAGGCGTAGAGGTCTCGCACCAGCACAGTGAACTTCTCCTGTATCTGTAACTCTGCTTCGGAGGTATCACACCATTCTGCTTTCATCTGCTCCTCCTCAAGCAGCACACATTCGGCCCTCTTTCTCAACTTCTCCATCAGTGGCAGGAAGTGGCTCTTTAACAGCCCAATGTGGGCTTTGCATATAATCGGCTGGGAAAAAACTGAAAGATATGGCAACTGTTAGTAGTGGGAATTATAACCGAAATAAAGAAAATATCTGAGTAATGTATATGACCATAATACCTGCCAGCTGTTTCATCCAGTCGCCCTGGCTACAGCCGACATGGTTGTGGATGACACGGAGGATGTGGCCAAGAAGGTCACTAGCATGTTGAGGAATGACAGCGGTGCAGATCGGGCTGTCTGGCAGGCCCTCGGGGCCCCAGTCCCACCAACGAGACATGTAGCTGCACAGCATAGGCAGAGTGACCTCAGTGACATGGATGTACTGTGCCTGGCGAGCCCCAGCACCAGCTGCAGCATAATCCTCCACCTCCTCCAGAGCCTGATCCAGAGAGGGCAGGTAGGGACACATGTCCTCCACCTGATCTGCTAGCCCAAAGTCTAAAAGAAACAGAAATGGATCATAAGGCTGAGAAAACAGGGTAAGGATATGGGGGTTGGAGCTGGGGTTGGTTTAAACAGAGAACACTGATTAGTGTGTCAGGAGGGTTAGTTCATTTGTATTGAGTCTTTGTCCTGTGACTAATTAATTGACGAATGTTGTGGCACTTCAGTCACATCATTATTAGGTAACGAAAATGACAATGGTTATTACCTTCTCTCTCAGAGGCACTCATGGTGTTGTAGATGGAGTAACGGTTGTTTTGGTTTAGAGAAGGCTCCAGGAAGCAAACAGGAAACGTCCCAGTCAGAGCTGCCAGACAAGCCCCTGCTGCTGCCCTCTGCCTGCACAGGAAGACTGTGTTAGGACAGAGGCATAGGGCTGACTAATGTACAAATCTAATCAAACTCTGTGGGGTAGGTTTGCTAATGTAAGTGATCTGCCAGATACTTTCTGTTCTTATCTCAGGGTCAGAAATGTTGGTCACTTAACTTGACCCGTATACACTAATCCATAGCCTTGATGAAATGAGTTAAAATAAATATAGTTTAGATTGTTAAAAGAGAGAAAACAAGATTACAGGAAGACATTCTTTTCAAAATCGCTAACTGTGAATCACATAGCCATAAAGGTAGTACCCCTCCATGTAGATGCTGCTGCTGGTGCCAAGAGAGTGGAGGCTGTTAAGGATCCTGTAACAGTACACCTGGATACTCCCCACTGGAAAGGCAAAATCCAAGGACAGTGAGTAGGAAAGCTGATAGCGTGCAAACAGAGAGAGATAGACTAGTAGCTGGATGGCTGCAGATAATGAATGATTCCTGGAAGGTCAGGATATCAGTGATGTTGACAATATGCTCCTGCTGCTCTATGGCTATAACTGAGACACTCAAGGAGCTGGTTTCAAACATGTGGTGGAATGTTTATCCAGCTCCTTCACAAATGTACAAACTACTGAAGAACCATGTGCTAGAGTGTGTTTATGTAATATTGTGAAGGTATGTTAACAATCTGTATTGGTAATTGTGTATCTAAGGGTGCATTCGAGGATGTAAAATGTATCAAAGTCGCCCTCACCCAGGAGGAGCACTCCAAAGTGTTGGTTGCCAAGATGCTGAAAGAGGGAGGTGAGGGTGGGCAGGAGAACAGAGGTTGTGAAGCTGAGAACCTTGGCAACTCCTCTAGCCTGTTGACTCCGACTCTGAGGCAAACAGACCAAGGTCACAGAGAGGTTTTCCACCGTCATCTCCAGATCAGTTGCGGCTGCCTCAAAGAATGAATGCAGGGATGCTTGGATAAACTCTGGGGCTGACTTCATCAATGCTCTAGGGCCAAAGGGTGGAAAATGGCAGTTAGTTTAGTGGTAAACTGCATTAAAGGTAGGGCAGGTAATTCACTTCAGATACACTTTGTTATATTCCATGGAATGCTCTTAACGTCCCGATAGCAGTGAATAAATGAAATGCTTTGACAATAAATCCATGAACAAAATGTCATCTGTGGAAGCCGTGGCGCTGTAAAAAGCACGACCAATCATCTGAGCCGGCCCGGCTAAAATAACTGGATGCCTGTCAGCCTTCCATCTCGTGCCCTCATTGGTCATGTGCGCGTTCATGTGTGTTGGAGGAGGGGCTCTGTAAGGAAGTCTGAAGGAAGGGGCAGATTTTTTTCGGCTCCGTACTCGAGCTGGTTTCTCCATTCTTACCTACCCTACCTTTAAGTTATACATGTACAAATAAGGGACACAAAACATGTGATTGCCTACTTCAAAATAAAACAATAAGAAATGATATGGAGATAATAAAACAGTTTAAAAAGGCATCATGCAGTGTCTCTTTTACAAGCTTTGATAAAAACAGTTAAGTGGATTAAATCAGTTGCTAATCCATCCAGCAGACAAGTCTAAGAGACATCAATGTCTGCCGAGCCGAGATTCTACTTTTAGGGTCATGCTTCAGAGGCAGTGTCCTCAGGGAGTAAAAGTGATATCAACCACAATTAGATAGCATCAGTGGCTCAATTACACCAGTCATCTCATCCTCAGACATGGTGGTGTGACACTGATGTGACCGCAGGCAGAGCGAGGGGATCGGTTCAGGCAGAGTGTGACGATAGTGCTATCGAGCTACCTGGCATCCAGAGTCTGAGCCAAAACATGGAGGCAGCTTGCAACTGACGACGCTTCGTTTCCTGGCAAAACACACACATACATACACCAGGGTTCATACACTTTTTCACCAATGATTTTCCATGACCTTTACCTAATTTTCCATGACCAAAAAAATTACTCATTCTCAACGGTAACACTGACAATGGTTTATTTTAACATGGTAAGCAGGAAAATAAGGTCTGCATATGAAACATGTTGTGCCTATCTAAAACAAATCAAATAGTAGGCTTACTAGCTTCTACAGGCTAAAGCAACTCAAATCTCTCACCAGCAAAATACCTCGACAGTTAAATGCCATTTTACGTTTCATTACTATACGATACAGTATTTATTATCATTATAGTATTACTATTTTGGCGATTAGATCAAATATAAATTAATTATATTTGATGCAACTTTAGTTACATTTCCATGAATTTTCCAAAACTTTAGGAAAAATATTGTTTTTGATAACTTTTCCAGGGCCTGGAATTAGCATTTTGAATTTCCACGACTTTTCCAGGTTTTTAATGACCGTAAGAACCCTGCTACACACTTAATCCACAATGTCCTCACACACAGACAAATAGAGTCAAATACAGAACATGCATAAACACACAAGGAATTTGATGAATTTCATATAATAACATATTAAGGAGCAAACCAAGGACACTAACAAGAGAACAAGTGATTGAGCTTAATTTCCACACCATCCTTACCAAAGAGGGACATCCTGTGTCTTACTAGAGCTGCAAGCTTACAAAAGAGGCTGGATGTGAGGAGAAGGACAAAGGCAGTGATGAGGAGAGGAGTGGGAAAGTAATTGCAGGACACAAAATCAGAAGAATGAGGCTTTTACATTGAAATAAACACTTGATAAAGAAAAGAAATAATTAAACTTTTCAAAGTATTTGACAGAAAAGTTCTGAGGAATTGTCCTTATACAATATGATGTGTAAGAGCATTTAAAAAAAAACGTATAGTGAAATCAACATACCATGATATTTGTTGGGGGTTAACACATACCTTGCAATCATCTCCTTTTCCTTTTTTGATGCATGGCTTTTATTCCCACTTGAGCAGTGAGAAGTGGGCAGGAAGTATGGACGATGGCTCTTCACATATTGTTCCAAGAGAGGAAGGATAACCTAAGTTGAATGGAGTAGTAGCCATATCATCAGTACAGTAAAGAGAGAACTTACTCAAAAGATACATCATTTGAAGTACAAGTACCATTAAATCAAGTAGATAACTCTTGATTGTCACTTGTTAGTAACATATTTCCCTTAATGCATCCAATGAAATTGTCTTGTCATCATGATTAGTGTTTCAAATAAGGTTTTGGGTCTTTGCAGTGCCTCTAACAACTTGAATGTGTTATAATTAGTCCCGATAAGGACCTGTGGGGAAAAGAGCTGAACATTTGGCATCTATTAGCTCTTCATATGAAGCACTGCCTATTTACAGACGGACAGATGGACAGGCAGGGATGTGAGTGGAGTGTGTGGCTGAGTGGGAGGTGTGGGGTGTAGAGATCTGAGGCATGACTGCTCATGGTATCGGCTGACCAACTCAGTGGGTCCCATCAATGAAGAAATAAACCCCTTTTCATTCGCTGCCTCCTTAGGGGCAGAACAGAGTGGGAAGCTTTAATCAATTTCTTGATGGCAATCGACACGCCCACAAGGATTTCCAAAATAGCTAAATAAATTACACAGCCACAAAGGGTTTTACTTAAGAGGGGTTTCCCATGGCAACCGTCTAACAAAACTAATTAGATGACGTAAATCAAATAAGAAAAAGGAGGGGGAACGAAAATGGCCTTGCAAGAGAGCCAAGTCAATGCCAGGGATTTCATATCAGACTGATATGGATTAGGACTGTTCAGATATGTAATTGATCTGAGGCAAACCTTGGGGAAAAAATGAATTGGCTGCTGGTGTGCAGCTCTCTCTCCTTTAGACATCTGTCCTCTGGCTTGCATCACCTCTGGAAAAAAAAAAAAAATGAAATATTTGATCAAAGACATCTACCGTGGTACAAGTTACAAAATAGTAACGTATTAATAATAAAAGTGTTTCTGTGTAATTCTCACGTAAGACAGACAAGTTCACATACCCAGGCATGCTGTGGGCTAGTGATGGTTTACATCAAATCCACCCTGAGGCAGACTTGCTGAATGTAGACTCAAGACTCAATATTGATCAAATCAGACTCAAGGCTCACTAATATGTTCAAAAACATTGAAGCGTCATCTACATAATAATACATTTTATTTATATAGCGCTTTTCACAACTCAAAGACGCTTTACAGTATGAGGGAGGGTAGACAAACAAGGACAGGCAAACAAATAAATATAGTAAAATAAAATAAACAACAAAATAAAGGCAGTCAAGAGGAAGTTGTTTGAGAGGGGGGGGGGGCTTATGGGTAGACAGAGTTGAAAAGATGTGTTTTGAGGCGGGACTGAAAGACTGTGAGGGACTCAGAGTCACGGAGATCTTGGGGGAGGGAGTTCCAGAGCCTAGGAGCTGCCACTGAGAAGGCTCCGTCCCCAAAGCTGCAGAGTGTGGATGTGGGAATGGATAGGAGTCCGGCTGCGGTGGATCTGAGGGACCGTGGGGGTTGATAAGGAGTGAGAAGGTTTGTGAGATAAGGGGGGGCCAGATGGTGGAGTGCTTTGTAGGTGAGGACCAGAACTTTGTAGTTGATGCGATGGGAGACAGGAAGCCAGTGGAGNAGTGATGGTTTACATCAAATCCACCCTGAGGCAGACTTGCTGAATGTAGACTTAAGACTCAATATTGATCAAATGTGAAGAATTCAAGTCCCAGACTCAAGGCTCACTAATATGTTCAAAAACATTGAAGCGTCATCTACATAATAATAATAATACATTTTATTTATATAGCGCTTTTCACAACTCAAAGACGCTTTACAGTATGAGGGAAGGTAGACAAACNGTCCCCAAAGCTGCAGAGTGTGGATGTGGGAATGGATAGGAGTCCGGCTGCGGTGGATCTGAGGGACCGTGGGGGTTGATAAGGAGTGAGAAGGTGTGTGAGATAAGGGGGGGCCAGATGGTGGGGTGCTTTGTAGGTGAGGACCAGAAGTTTGTAGTGCGATGGGAGACAGGAAGCCAGTGGAGGTCTTTGAGGACTGGGGTGATGTGATGATGTGATGAGATAAGATATTCATATCTTTGGGATGTATTATTGGACGTTTTACATTTCCAATAAGTGAAATGATCATCATACCCAGCTCCAACACATGCTCCTGGGCCTCCTCAGTGTGAGCCAGCAGCTGCTGAAGGAGAGTGAAGCCAAAGCAGTTGGCTATGGCTGGAAAGTCCATCTCGGCTGTCTTCCGATCCCTGTAGAGGAGGTGAAACCATACAGGGGGAATGAAACACTGCTGCTAGAAGACAATAAGCTTTGTCATTCATGTATAATCTGGACTAGGAATTTTCTAATTTCTAAAATTGCCTCTGCACCAGTGTGAAATGAAGATGGGTTATACATAGGGATAGGGAGTATCGGCCGATCGATATCGGCCGATACTCCCTCAAGCATCCCTAGTTATACATCTTTCATGCTGTATTACATTGGCCTTTAGCAAAGAAAGCTCATTGTTTATTATGCACCTCCACACACTATAGCCGTTCAGCTGAAGGAACTTGAGAGCATCCTGCGCTCTTTCTCTGAATTTGGTCTTCTCCTTGGCTGTTAGAGTATCATAGGGTACAAGCATTGGATGGTTTCCTCCTCCTGAAAACAGACGTTGGTCAAATACATTAAAACTTTTGCTAACAGTTCTGTGGCCCCTGTGGGAACACGACTTATAGAAATAGAAACAGGACGCATCATAGAAATATCAGAAAACAGTGGTTGACAGCACTAGTACCTTTGCTCTCCAGCTCTAATTTCTTCTTCTTAGCCCAGGCATTGTGGTAGTTTTCAGCCAACTGTAAAGCCATAGCCTAAAGGAACAAATACAAAAGTTAGATCTATTTACTCTATCTTTGCAACACAAGTTTTATCACAACATTTGTAAAAACAAGTTACATGGCAAGTATACATTCCGACCAAATATATCAGCTCCTCCCAATCCGCTTTGTTTCATAAATATATAAAACTCACTAATAAGACATGTAAATAAAAACACAAAAAAACGGAACTATAACTCCTTTAACCCTTGTGTTGTGTTCCAAAGCTGTTACCGTTCATGGTGTTCGTGGGTCAATTTTGACCCATGATTTATCTCAGTCCAAAACACACAAAAATAATGACTATCGTCCAATATTGTTTTAACTAAAACCAAAACACATTACACCACATATTGCACACATGCATGTTTGTGTTCAGGTTAAAGTGTTGTGTACATATTCTTTGAGAAAGGTCGATTTCCCGTGGGGGGAGGGGGGCAGAGGAAGGGGAGACCAGGTGCATGTTGCGAAAAACGATTGTTACAGTTGATGAAGGGGGTGGGGGAGGGGTGTTTAAAGTCAAAGATGAATCTTGATTTGGCCAAATTTGACCTCGAGTCACCCAAAACAATTCTGCTGGGTCTCCCCAGACCAGAACACCAAATTATACACTTTGTTTTTTAGAGACCTTCAGACTTGGCAAAAATTGTCAAAATCTGTTTTGCAGTGTTTATACAGTATGGCTGTTGTGGAGGATATCATGAAGCCTTGTTCTGATAAGAAAAACTAGAGCGTAGTTGAAACGGGTCACGGGAGACCCAAACACAACATAAGTGATAAAGAAGCAGACAGTATCCTAATAGATCTCCAACAAGGAAACTACTTTTAGCAAGGAAATGCATCAAAGAAAATGGGTCCAGTATCCAAAATACGATTACACAGCACTCCAACATGTAACCGATGGGAGATGATTTATCTTTTTAAGGTGACTTCATTTTTCAGGCACTGAAATTTGTGTCACTGAGTTGTCTTAAAATAAATGTATGTCTGTTCCGGTAGTCTATAACTGCACAGACTCAAGCCACTTACATCTGACCACTCACAATTATGATCCTATGTTTTGTAGGCATTTAGTATCATGTCTTTGCCTTATATAGAACAACATTGGTAACGGGTGTGCTACTAGCTCTGCTGATCTGGTGTCAAGATTAAAGTAGAACAAAGGTTTGAAATACTTTAATGCTAAATAAGGCAGGATTACTCACACACTGGTCCCATGATAAGGTGATGCTGCTCATGTCCATTGGTTTAGGGCTGAAGGTTGATGCTCCTTCAAAAGAAAGCTATAAGAGACAACCATTGTTTGTCAACTCTTGAATGAAAAAAATTTAAAATCAAAGTGGCTGAACACTTTAAACAAAAAAAAGAAATTAGTAGGAAATGCAGTGGGGGAAGTGTTTGGTGGGGAAAGACCATAGACTGTATATATAAAGGGAAAGACCTACATTTTAATACAACAGACGTATGGCGCCCTAAGGCTGTGTGAATGAGGCCTTTTGAGTACCTGTCCAGACTGAGATACTCTGCGTGTAACGGTATGCGTGCCGAATGCTTCTCCTTCTTTGGTTCTCTCTATAGTCCATCCAAAGGCCAGCATACTCTTTATGGTTTCTTTAATGGCCCAGCGGTACGCCTCCTTTTCCTAGAAAACTCGGAAATATCAATATACCCTTATAAAAAAACTGAACTTAGTAGGTCATTGAAGGACAGCAGATAATGGAAAAACTATTTCAAACTACTGTATTTTATTATTTCAAAAACTGTTGTAAGCTCCATACCCCAAAGACCTAAAAACCAATGCATTTCATATTTTATATTACACACAGTACATTGGCTATGATAGCGCCTAGGGGTGGTCTCACTTCACTGCTTAACTTTGTTGTATTTTTGGACTTCTTACTCTACCTTCTCAGCCAGAGCCCTGTATGGCTTGAGGCGAGGGTGAACCTTGGTGTTCTCACATTGCTGCTCCCCGTGAACCCAGCCGTTGGCAAACTGACAGAGATAACATACAGATTCAGTGTAAAAGTACACATAAGAAAATATGCAGGCATCTATAAATTACAACACAGACACTGTGAAGCAGACATATTGTCATGTAAATATATTCCTAAGTGGTTCAGTCACCACCAGGATATCATACATCAACGTAAACCGGTCCTTCGGATTTGAACAAATACATTCAGATGTTACCTTGTCCAGGGACCACTTCTCATGAGTGTGCTCCGCGTACTTATTCACAACAAACTCCAGTCTTTCTGGCACTGACACGCTAGTGCAGGGGAAACAAAAAAAACACATCATGTAGCTCTATCCTACAGTAACACATTTGAATATAATTGTGCATTATTATTGGAAATATTTTCTTAGAGCATGAAGATACATTATCATGTGCACAGCAGTAGTTTCATTTAATTAAAAAAAAAGTTCTTTAATGATTTTGCTCATTTTTTTGGAAGCATATTTTCTGTGTCCAATATGATGTGCATGCGACGATATCTCAGCAGCCAGACATTTAAATTAAAATTGTATATTGACATACACTTCAAAAAGTATTGCGTCTCCTGAAATTTGAAAAATACAATAGGCCATATGGGGATATTGATAACAAATGGGTCAATTGTTGAGCCCAATGCTGTTTAAAGTATATTCTCTTTACCAAATTACAGTTTACATATTTCCTAGAGCAGAACAAGTCATTGAAAATCAAAAAGGTGTTATTCTTTATCTGTTATCAATAAGTATCTCTGGTCAGGATCTTACCTTGAGGTATCTACAGGCTGGGGGTCAAAGTGTCCTTCTGTGTCCATTGAGGCTTTTCTCTCTGTATCCGACAGACAGCTTGAGTCCATGTGGTCAGGAGGAAGAGCCATGGACACGGCAGCCAGGCACTGGACACACAGCCCGAATAACTGAGGCTCATAGGGCTGTAGAGTTAGAGAAAGATAGGATACATATTGTAGGAGGAAGTAAAGATAAAGACACAATGGGACAGTGTTCGGGGGAGATGGGCAACAAAATTGTAGTTTTAATGAGATATAGTGTATTGTACAGGGACATTTCCAAAAATATGTCCTCCTGTTCCAATATTTGTAAAAGAAAAAAGGAGTAATACATAAAAAGTTGTTATGCACCATCTCCATTTTACAAAAATATATGTATGCCCAAAGAGGAAGCAAAAAAAAAAAAATGTCATTTGTCAGCTCTGTATGTTAACATGACATGGTTGATACATTTAACAGAGGTAATGTCTTATGTTCAAATAAACACAGGAGAAGGTTTATTTGAACCAAATCCGGCATAATGAAGAGCTCACATCCAATTGCAGTACATGCACTGCAACTTTACATTTGGTTGATATTGGTTAAGCCTTGGCTTTGGTTGCTTTCTGCAACAACAACAATGTTTTCTTGCTTTGAGCATGCGTCTGGATTTTACAAACAGAACACTTTTCAAGGGAACCAGTTTATTTAATTAATTTAATGACACATTGGATTTTTATTTCAGATACATAGACCTAGCCTTCATGAAGAAACACTTCAGCTGAAAAACTATCTAGCTGCAAATCATTAAGTGTTGTGCAATAAATAGGGATATAGAAATACTGTGCACCTAAGCTACACTACACACTCTGTAGAGAGTCTTCTTTGCAAACTGGATTTCAAGGATTTTTAAAGCAAGTCTCCAGTGGGGCTGGAATGATCCTTTGAGCTTGAATCTTTTATGTATCGATGTTCTCAATCCATCACGTAACGATCATTTCAGAAAATATGCTGGTACATGTCAACTGAAGAAAGATTCAGTTACTGCTTACGTCTCTCACACTTCAACCAACGCTGTTCAAGGATGGAGGGCTTTATACTAGGATGTAAAAAAATGTACTCGTAATCACAAGTGGGTTTTTATCTTCCTCCACTCAGGTTCTTTGAGAAGTTCACTAAGGACGAAGATCAAATGAAGATTCTGATATCTCTCCGGAAATACGATTTGAGGAGAATTCAAAGAAGAAAAGATCAATTAAGGGCTGTAGATAAGTCATTTTTGAGATTGCCACAGGTATTCAAAATGGATTACCTTCTTTGCCAAGGCCTGAAACACGCCCCAGAACAACTTTCTCGACAGGTGGAGCTCCTCTTCAGAGGCCAGAGCCTGCTCACCCTGCCCTGCAGCCAGCGAGTAGTACTTCCACCTCTGCTCGTAGTGACTGGTCAAGAGCTGGTGGATCATAAAATGTATAATTTATCAAGGTGAACCAATTTATTTTCTGCTCTCCTGTAGTGAACTGCAATTTGTATATTAACCTTTAGTGGCATGTTGCTGTCGTCTGTGAGATGGGGAACATCGAAGACAAGGCGTCGAAGGAGAGGCTGCATCATAGATGGTTGGAGTTCACTGAGGACACAGATGAATGAAGAATTAGTCACAGGAACGAACACACACACACACACACACACACACACACAC